TAGCCTAACCCAACTAAATGTATTTTAAATACGTTTATAATAATTTAGTACTAAACAAACACAATCAACTATATTTTTTTCGTTAGGTTCAGAGTGATTTTGGCGAAATTATTGCATACACAAATTTTCACTTGTCCTATATGGCAAGATGAGCATTGCTATTTAAGCCAAGATCTCAAGTTCTGCCTATTCGGCACGACATACACACACACACACACACACACACCATATATATATATATATATATATATATATATATATAGATAATATATATATATATATATATATATATATATTTCAACAAGTCGCATACTCCATATATATATATATATATATATATATATATATATATATATATATATATTATATATATATATATATATATATATATATATATATATGTCGTGCCGAATAGCAACTTATACATCATGCTTAAATTAGCAACGTTCATTCTTGCATATAGAAAAAGCCAAAATTATGTGTATGCAATAATTTCGGCCAAAATCATTATGACTAACGAAAAAAATCTTATATTCACATGTTTGTTTATGATTAAATATTGTAAACAAATCTAAAATATATTTAGTTTGGGTTTAGGCTTAAAATAAATTTTCTTGTTATAAATAAGGGTTAGGTAAGTTTTCTAAGATTTTTTGGAGCAAAATTAAAAATTTTTACATTAACATTAATGAAAAAAATATGTCTTTAAACGTATAAGAGAAAATTTAGAAAGAACTTAATTTTAAATGAGTTCTTGCTAATTGACCAGTTTTACATATTCGGCACGACATATATATTATTATATATATATATATATATATATATATATATATATATATATATTATAATATATAATATATATTATAGATGCAATAAGATCACAGTAAACAGGTGATTTCAAAATATGCAAAACAACCACTCTGAAAGAATAGAGAAATTCCAAGCGCTTTCGTGACTACTCATATTATCAAGGATAATGTGAGTAGTCACGAAAGCGCTTGGAATTTCTCTATTCTTTCAGAGTGGTTGTTTTGCATATATATATATATATATTTTATATATATATATATATATATATATATATATATATATATAAAATATATATATATATATATAATATATAAACAAATGGACCGTTTCCCACCAAGGCAGGGTGACCCAAAAAGAAAGAATAACCAAAAAAGAAAGAAAAATACTTTCATCATCAACAACACTTCACCATCACTCATACATAATCACTGTCTTTGCAGAGGCGCTCAGATACGACAGTTTAGATGTCCCTCCAAACTTCCAACATCCCAAACTCCTCCTTTAAAGTGCAGGCATTGTACTTCCCATTTCCACGACTCAAGACCGGTTTACCTGAATCCCTTCCCAAAATATTACCTTCCTCACACTCCAACAGCTCGTCGGGTCCCAAAAACCATTCATCTCCAGTCACTCCTATCTAACACGCTCACGCATGCTTGCTGGAAGTCTAAGCCCCTCGCCCACAAAACCTCCTTTACCCCTTTTCTCCAACCTTTTCGAGGACGACCCCTACCCCGCCTTCCCCTACAGATTTATACGCTCTCCAAGTCAGATGGTAGATGGGACAAAAGGAATATGGCAACAGCAAGTAAGAGAGAGGTGAAAGTGTATAAACTAAGGGAGGAAAAAGTTAGGGTGAGATATAAGCAACTATTGGCAGAAAGGTGGCCTGGTGCAAGTATGAGTAGTGGGGGGGGGGGGGATTGAAGAGGGTTGGAATAATTTTAAAAATGCAGTATTAGAATGTGGGGAAGAAGTTTGTGGCCATAGAAGGGTGGGTGCAGGAGGAAAGAGGAGTGATTGGTGGAATGATGAAGTAAAGGGTGTGATAAAAGAGAAAAAGGTAGCTTATGAGAGGTTTTTACAAAGCAGAAGTGATATAAGAAGAGGAGAGTATATGGAGAGTAAAAGAAAGGTGAAGAGAGTGGTGAGAGGGTGCAAAAGGAGAGCAGAAGATAGAGTGGGAGAGGCACTGTCAAAAAAATTTGCTGAAAATAAGAAAAAAAAATTGGAGTGAGATAAAGCAAGTTAAGAAAGCCTAGGGAACGCATGGATTTGTCAGTGAAAAACAGAGTAGGGGAGTTAGTAGATGGGGAGAGGGAGGTATTGGGTAGATGGCGAGAATATTTTGAGGAACTTTTAAATGTTAAGGAAGGAAGGGAGGCGGTAATTTCATGCACTGGCCAGGGAGGTATACCATCTTTTAGGAGTGAAGAAGAGCAGAATGTAAGTGTGGGGGAGGTGCATGAGGCATTACGTAGAATGAAAGGGGGTAAAGCAGCTGGAACTGATGGAATCATGACAGAAATGTTAAAAGCAGGCGGGGGGGATATAGTGTTAGAGTGGTTGGTATTTTTGTTTAATAAATGTATGAAAGAGGTGAAGATACCTAGGGATTGGCAGAGAGCATGTATAGTCCCTTTATATAAAGGGAAGGGGGACAAAAGAGACTAAAAATTATAGAGGAGTAAGTTTACTGAGTATACCAGGAAAAGTGTACGGTAGGGTTATTACTGAAAGAATTAGAGGTAAGACAGAATGTAGGATCACGGATGAGCAAGGAGGTTTTAGAGTGGGTAGGGGATGTGTAGATCAAGTGTTTACACTGAAGCATATATGTGAACAGTATTTATATAAAGGTAGGGAAGTTTTTATTGCATTTATGGATTTAGAAAAGGTATATGATAGAGTGGATAGGGGAGCAATGTGGCAGATGTTGCAAGTATATGGAATAGGTGGTAAGTTACTAAATGCTGTAAAGAGTTTTTATGAGGATAGTGAGGCTCAGGTTAGGGTGTGTAGAAGAGAGGGAGAATACTTCCCGGTAAAAGTAGGTCTTAGAAATGGGATGTGTAATGTCACCATGGTTGTTTAATATATTCATAAATGGGGTTGTAAAAGAAGTAAATGCTAGGGTGTTCGGGAGAGGAGTGGGATTAAATTATGGGGAATCAAATACAAAATGGGAACTGACACAGTTACTTTTTGCTGATGATACTGTGCTTATGGGAGATTCTAAAGAAAAATTGCAAAGGTTAGCAGACGATTTTGGGAGTGTGTGTAAAGGTAGAAAGTTGAAAGTGAACATAGAAAAGAGTAAGGTGATGAGAGTATCAAATGATTTAGATAAAGAAAAATTGGATATCAAATTGGGGAGGAGGAGTATGGAAGAAGTGAATGTTTTCAGATATTTGGGAGTTGACGTGTCAGCGGATGGATTTATGAAGGATGAGGTTAATCATAGAAATGATGAAGGAAAAAAAGGCAAGTGGTGCGTTGAGGTATATGTGGAGACAAAAAATGTTATCTATGGAGGCAAAGAAGGGAATGCATGAACGTATAGTAGTACCAACACTCTTATATGGGTGTGAAGCTTGGGTTGTAAATGCTGCAGCGAGGAGGCAGTTGGAGGCAGTGGAGATGTCCTGTCTAAGGGCAATGTGTGGTGTGAATATTATGCAGAAAATTGTGAAAAGTGTGGAAATTAGGAGAAGGTGTGGAGTTAATAAAAGTATTAGTCAGAGGGCTGAAGAGGGGTTGTCGAGGTGGTTTGGTCATTTAGAGAGAATGGATCAAAGTAGAATGACATGGAGAGCGTATAAATCTGTAGGGGAAGGAAGGCGGGGTAGGTGTCGTCCTCGAAAAGGTTGGAGGGAGGGGGTAAAGGAGGATTTGTGGGCGAGGGGCTTGGACTTCCAGTAAGCATGCTTGAGCGTGTTAGAATTAAATGGAGACGAATGATATTTGGGACCTGACGAGCTGTTGGAGTGTGAGCAGGGTAATATTTAGTCAAGGGATTCAGGGAAACCGGTTATTTTTATACAGCCGGACTTGGGTCCTGGAAATGGGAAGTACAATGCCTGCACTTTAAAGGAGGGGTTTGGGATATTGGCAGTTTGGAGGGATATGTTGTGTATCTCTATACGTATATGCTTCTAAACTGTTGTATTCTGAGCACCTCTGCAAAAGCAGTGATAATGTGTGAGTGTGGTGAAAGTGTTGAATGATGATGAAAGTATTTTCTTTTTGGGGATTTTCTTTCTTTTTTTTGGGTCACCCTGCCTCGGTGGGAGACGGCCGACTTGTTGAAATATATATATATATATATATATATATATATATATATATATATATATATATATATATATATATATATATATATATATATATATATATATATATACTCTTTCAGAATTGCCTTGACTTTAATTAATGCAAAACCTGCACTTTCATTTAAATTAAATGGATAAATATATAAATATTTACCAACAATACAACAATTGGCGAAAAACGGTGTCTTTAGTTAGCATATAAATCAAGTTATATTTAGTTAATCCCCCCTCGTGTATATTTAGCATATAAATCAGGGATCAGAGTATATATATATTTTTTTTTACAAAGCAGGGTGAGCACTTTGCATTAGGATATTCAGCAGAATATATAAAGAATGGAGAAATTTAACCTGGAGGCTAGGCCTTAGCTACCAGGTTTTTGGCAGCAAGGCTAAATTCAAAGTATGGGATGCACATGTACTAAGTAGACACAACGTTGTTACTATAAAACTGTTTAATAATAGCACTCATCGTAATGTAATACATAAAAACCTATACTCTAAGTATGTCGTAATTTTTGTTATTAAGGAGGTTCTTTGATGCTGGTGAAGGGTTGTTCATGCAAGGAACTGGACGTGTTCTCCACATCCCTCATGTGCTATATCATCCCTACGAGCTTCAGGGGCACGTCAGTTACCCTGTCTCCTAACATCATGTTTTAAGTTATACCATTAATTAAGGAAAGATCCTAGAGTTCACCTTACGAAAGCAGACAAAGCAAATGCGATAGTAATTATCGACAAAGTAAATTATAGGGGAAAATAAACATTATAATAATAATAATAATAATAATAATAATAATAATAATAATAATAATAATAATAATAATAATTGTATTTTTGTTTTGAAGAAAAGTGGTTATAGCATAAATGAGAGGAGAGAACTGGTGGAAGACTTACGGGTGGTGAAATTGGAAGATATGTAGGCGGCGCTTTCCTTATACTCGTACACGGTGTAGAGCTGGAGCTCGTAGGAGGCGCCGGGGGTGAGTTCCCGTAGGTTGAAGGGCAGCTGCGCCTCAGAGATGCCTACGTTGCGGTTGCTGTTCTGGGGCTCGGAGAGTGGGATGACCTTGAGCTTGAAGCCAGAGTAGCCACCGATAACAGGAGGATCCCAGCTGACTAAGGCATTCTTACCTCCCCTCACCTGGATGCTCAGGTTGCTTGGTGGCGACGGCACTGTTACACAGAGAACAATGTTGTTATCATCAGCTTGATAGTGCCACTCTTTACATACACACGCACAAATAATGTTTACATAAACATAAAGAGAATGTTAACATTCACACATAAGAAGTTGTTGGTGCCACTGTGCAGGGAAATAGGGAGAAGGATTACTATGGAGTGAGAATATAATAATGTTACAGTGACCATGTAGGGTTAAGATACACAAACACTTACACTACAAACAATCCAAGTGTCTAACGACAAGTGCCTCTGACAACTGCTAACTAATACATCAACAACAGGCCATGTGTCTACCGGCAAGTACCTTTGACAAGTTGTAACTAACAGCATACACACAACCAAAATATTCATCACAACACCGCAATACTTCCCAGGTTAAACCTTAAATTTATATTCATGACAGTAATGGAAACAACAATGTTATATTTCCCACACCCGGCTATAAATAGTCTGAGCAGCGAGTAGTAACAGTGCAGGAATTAACAGTGGCTCCTCCATACCTCCTCTTGTTACTTTGTTGTGGTTGACGACTACACACTGCACCACCATCATTAACGTCAAAAATACTTAAATACCTAAAATGGGGATTACAGTAAACTCTTAATAATATACCTTGACAGATAAACCTCTCAGTGTATATACACAAAGATCTACACCTCACACCTCTGGCATATATACCTTGAGAAATACACATCTCTGAGTTTATCTACACTGTGAGGTACACCTTTCAGCGTATTTACCCGCTCAAGTGTATATGCCGGTGTCATAGTGTATCATCACAGTGGGTAGTACGGTGGTTAACAGCAAGCATCCAGCGAGGTGCTACCAGCCAATGAGACACTAAAATTCTATCTGATTAATGTGACACGGAAACCACTTGAAGGTTTCTGCACTCTGACAGCGTTACTGACATTTTGTTTCTGTCTTGTGGTGAAGACGAGAAATAACGGGTAAATCTTGCAAACTTCTTGCGTTCAGCTTACACTCGTTTTTACTTTCCAGGTCACAGGAGGCCACTCAAGATAGTAAATAATATAACCATGTGCAACAGTTACGTATCTTTATTCCCAAACGTTTCGCCTATACAGTAGGCTTCTTCAGTCGGATATAGAGGAGACAGCAGAAGCAGTAGAGACGTAAAGACGATGTAATCAGTCCATTACCCTTGAAGACGTACTCTGAAGTGGCCAGTCCCTCAACCGGGAGAAGAGTTTTGCTCCAAAGTCTGGAACTATGGAACATTTTTCCAGACTATGGAGCAAAACTCCTTTCCCGATTGAGGGACTGACCACTTCAAAACTACGTCTTCAAAGGTGATGAACTGATGACATCGTCTTTACATTTCTACTGTTTGTGCTGCCTCCTCTGTACTCGACTGAAGAAGCCTACTGAGCAGGCGGAACGTTTCGGAATAAAGATACCTAACAGTTGCACGTGTCTTACTTATCAACTTGTCGGTATTATATACCATTATCATATTCAGTAAATAATATTTTGAATAGTTGGTCAGGCAATGAAATGGCATTCATAATGGTAAATTAGGCACAATTATTGATTGGATGATGATGACAGAACAAGAGTAACAGTGCAACAAGCCGACAACAAGAACAACCGTAATTTCTAACCCTTGGCTACGGTTTTTACCTTGAACGAGTCCAGTAAACAATGTGGGAAGACCAGTTCTGGAGCTGACGGTGGTGATGTGGGTGATGACAGTACTTGTAGTAATGATGGTAGTGAGTGATGACTGTGGTTGTAGTAATGATGGTACTGGGTGATGATAGTGGTTGTAGTAATGATGGTAGTGGTAGATGACAGTAGTTGTAGTAATGATGGTAGTGGGTGATGACATTGGTTGTAGGAAAGGGTAAAAAAAAAAGGGTAAAAAAAAACCGGTTTGGAAATTTTAAGCCTGAAATTTTAAAAAATAAAACCCAAGGGCCGGGAAAAAAAAAACCCAGCCTAAACCCCCCCAAATCCAAAAACCCCCATAAATTTTCCCCTTTTAATTTTCCCCAAATAAATTTTTAAAAAAACCCCCAAAACCCCGGAAAAAAATTTTAAAAGGGCCCCACCCCCCCCAAATAAAATACCCCAAAAATAACCAAATTGAAATAACCCAAGGGGAAAAATTTACAGGGGGTTTTAAAAACAAAAGGGGTAAAACAGGTTTTGAAAATAAAGGGGAAACCCCAAAATTTAAAATTTGGGGGGAAAACCCATTTTTAAAAAAAGGGTGAAACGGGAGTAAAAAAAATAAAGGGTGGGGAAATAACCAAGGGGAAAAAGAGGGATAAAAAAAAGGGGGAAAAAAGGTAAACCCAACAGGGAAAAAAGGGGAAATAAGAGGGGAAAAAAAGGGGGGAAAACCCTTTTTTAAAAAAGAAATTAAAAAAGGGGTGAAAAAAAGGAAAATAACAGGGTGAAAAAGAAAGGGGTAAGCCAGGGGAAAAAAGGGAAAAACAAAAATTTGAAAAAGGGGAACAAAAGGAAATTAAGGGGGAAACCCCGGATAAAAAAGGGGGAAAAAAAAGGAAAAAACCCAAGGGGGGAAATAAAGGGGGAAACCACAGCGGTTTGGAACTCACAGCAGATAAAAAAGGGGGCCACAAGTGAAACTAACAGGGAAAAAGGGAAAAAAATCAGAGTGTTTTAAAGGGAACCAGTGGTTGAAAAAATTGAGGAACAGAGGTGGAAAAAATTTTAGAAATGAAATGAGGTAAACTTAATAGAAGGAAGACAATTTGGTATTAAAGTAAATGAAGGGTGAATAAGAGGTGATTGAATAAATAATGAATAGGTAAACAGTAAATTTGAAAATGTAGGGATAAGCGGTTGAAATAGAGTGGTAAATAAGTGAGAGTTGTGAATGGAGTTAAGAGGGTTGTAGTAATGATGGGGTTTTAGAAATGAAAATAAGGGGATATGTTTAGATGAATGAATGGGTGACATAAGTTTAGTAGATGAAGAAGGGTGAAAGTTGAGTAAAGGGATTGATGACAGGGGTTGTATAAAAATTTGAAAGGGTAGTGGTGATGACTTTGGTTTAGTAATAAATGGTTGTAATATGGTAGGATAAGACAATGGTTTAGTAAAGTGAGGATGGTGATGACAGTAGTGAAAAGAAATGATGGTAGTGGGTGATGACAGTGGTTGTAAAAATGATGGTAGCGGGTTTTGTAAAATTGGTTTTTTAGTAAATGATGGTAGTGGGTGATGACTTGGGTTGTAGTAATGAGGTAGTGGTGATGACAGTAGTGTAGTAATGATGGGTGGGTGTACATTGGTTGTAGTAATATGGAAAGTGGGTGAAAATGTTGTAGTAATGATGGTAGTGGGTGATGACATTGGTGTAGTAATGATGGTAGTGGGTGAGACAGTGTTGTAGTATGGAGTAGTGGTGATGACAGTGGGTTGTAGAATGATGGTATGGTGTGACAGTTTGTAAATGATGGTAGTGGGTGATAATTGGTTGTAGTAATGATGGTAGTGGGTGATGACATGGTTGTAGTAATGATGGTAGTGGTGAGACAGTTTGTAGAATGATGGTAGTGGGTGATGACAGTATTGTAGTAATGATGTAGTGGGTGAGACTATGTTGTAGTAATGAGGGAGTGGGTGATAAAATTTGGTTAGTAATGATGGTAGTGGGTGATGACAGTGGTTGTAGTAATGAGGTATGGGGGGGATGACATTGTTGTAGAATGATGGTGGCGGTGTAGTAATGATGGTAGGGGGATGACATGGTTGTAGTAATGAGGGTAGTGGGTGTTGACAGGGGTTGTATAATGATGGGGGATTGGGAAATGGTTTATGACATGTTGTAGTAATGAGGTAGTGGGTGATGACAGTGGTTAAGTAATGAGGTAGTGGGGATGAATTGGTGTAGTAATGAGGTAGTGGGATAACAGTGTTGTAGTAATGATGGTAGTGCGTGATGACAGTAGTTGTAGCAATGATGGTAAGTGGGTGATGCAGTGTTGTATAATGATGGTAGTGGGTTGAATGAAGTAGTTTGTAGAAGATGTAGTGGTGATGACAGTGTTTTAGTAATGATGGTAGTTTGGGTGATAAACATGGTTGTAGTAATGATGGTATGCTGATGACAGTAGTTGTAGCAATGATGGTAGTGGTGATGACAGTGGTTGTAGTAATGATGGTAGTGGGTGATGACAGTGTTGTAGTAATTTGAGGTAGTGGTGATGACAGTGGTTGTAGTAATGATGGTAGTTGGTTAGACAGGGGTTGTAGTAATGATGGTAGTGGTGAGATATTGGTTGTAGTAATAAAGGGTAGTGGGTGATGACAATGGTTTAGTAATGTTGAATGGGTGATGACAGTGGTTGAGTAATGAGGTAGTGGGTGATGACAGTAGGTTTTTTGTAAGCAATGATGGTAGTGGTGATGACAATGGTTTTTAGTAATTTGGTACTGGGTGATGACATGGTTGTAGTAATGATGGTAGTGGGTGATGACAGTGGTTGTAGTAATGATGGTAGTGGGTGATGACAGTGGTTGTAGTAATGATGGTAGTGGGTGATGAGGGGTTTAGTAAATGGTAGTGGGTGATGAAAAGGGTTTTAGAAAATTTTGGTACTGGGTGATGACAGTATTGGCAGTAAGATGGTAGTGGTGATGACATGTTGTAGAAAGATGTTGGTGAGACGGTTGTAAAGTTGTACTGGGGACAGTGTTTTTAGTAATGAGGTTGGGATGACAAAGGTTGTAGTAATGTTAGTCTGGTGGATGACAGTGTGTGTATAGGTAGTGGGTGATGTGAAAATTGTGGTAGTGAACCTGAGAGAATGTAGAGACAGGAAAGTAGCCGGAGAAGAGACTAGATGTGTTGAACAAAACCCTTGTAGTTTGGGGAGCACATTTAGTCAAGGTTTGGAACCCTGATGTGTAATGTTGGAACTTGAGTGTTTAGTGTTGGAACCGTGAGGTGTAGTGTTTGGAACCTGAGTGTGTAGTGTTGGAACCTAGTGTGT